TGTACAGGGCCTAGCACAGTGCGGCCCTGATTCCTGACTGGGGCCCAAAGGTGCTACAACCACAGAGAGAGGCCAGGGCTTTCAAAAGCCCAACATGAGCCCCCTTGGGGAGGGGCCTGATTTCCAGAGCATGGGTGTCTAACAGGCCCCTTTAAAGCATCTCTATTTGGGCTCTTGAAATCACTAGTCACTGGGAAACCCCAGGCCACAATAATAAGGCATCAGCTGGAGAGGAAGGGAGTGAAAGTTCTCCAGTCCTGCCCTTAAGTCATCAGTGGAATGAGTCTGCTGGATCTCAGCCACTGTCTCTTTCACACACAGTCTGACTTGCCATACACACCAACATGGTTCCGTGCAGACAGTGAACAGGCTCCAAGCTCAGTCTGGCTGTTCTCTTATTTTGTTGTCCTCTCTCTCGGCTGTCGGCCTCCCCCCTTATTTGGCTCTCTTCCCCGCTAACTCTGGCTGACCGCTTCTCGCCCGAATCTGCATAGCTACCAGAGGCTTGGGGAGAAATGGAAGGACCTCAAACAACTCCATGCCCGCCCACGCATCCTGGAGGGCGGGAGAGCCTTGGAGCTCTCCATCCTGAAACAAAGCCCGTCTGCCCCTTTCCGGGTTCTACTGCACGGACCCTGTGGTGGGCTCTAGGGACATTAATGCCCTTGTTTAGGTTCTTCTCTCCGCTTCCAACTGCCCGGTGGCGAGCCCAGCTTGTTCCCCTGCTGAATGACCTGGGGGATTGAGACTGTGGGGGATAAGTCCTCGCTGGCTTTGGCAGGTCGAGCTCCCCCTACCAGCTAGGTGTCTTTGCATTAGCTCCTTCCCCTGCATCATCCTTTTGGGGTGGGCATTGGTAGGTGGCAGAAGCTACAATGCTCTCTGGGAGTGGCTCATTACTGCCCCCAGCGCTCTGACCTTGTTCGCCCCAGCTAAAGACCCACGTGCTGCTCATTAGTGTCCCGGGATTTAATCCAGGAATGAGCAGGGGTGTGTGTGTGTGTGTGTGTGTACATGCGTGCCCTGTATTGGATGATGTGTGCCCAGTTGTGCAGCTGTGTGTCATTGGCCCTATATTGCTAACAGCTGAGGGTGATTCTCCAGTAGCCCAAATGAAGGGGGCCTGTGTTTTGTTTTGGTTTTTTTTAACGGGGGGATCTCAGTTCTAATCCCAATGGCACTGAAGGTTTGAGTGGCCACGGTGCACAGCACTGGTGACAGGGAAGTCCCAGGTAGTTGTGGACTTACTATAATACCTTTTTTGGGTGAGGCATCGCATGTGGGGGGAAGACCGGGGGTTGGGGTCACAGCTGAGAGAACATTCTGCTTCCTTGTTCCACAGCAAGGAAGACAGGAGAGCAGAGCAGTTTGCTGGGGTGCGATTTTGCTCCTGGCTGCCAGAGGGGAGGAAGCGGTTGTGGGGCAGGGCCTGGCACAGGAACAAGAGCTGAGAGCAGCGGAGTTAATGCTGGGGACTCCAGAGCATTCATGCGGCTGGCAAGCTGGAGCCTGCCGGTACTCTCAGGGTTAGTGATGGGAGCGGAGTTTTAACTGAGACTGCACCGACGAGGGGGATAGTGCTGGGGGTGAGGCTTGTTTTATTCTTTGATTTCATTTTTTTTTTCCCTTCCCAATCTTGAGTCTGAATTTGGCTGAGGCCAGACTGCGGTGAGTTGTGAGCTCTCAGCTCAGGAGCGGCCCGTTGGCTTCGGAGCCTGGCAGGGTGGAGTGGGAGGGGCTGTGTTGGGCGTTGCTCGTTAAAACTGAAAGTGAATGCGGTGCTGGAGGCCAGTCGTTCGCTGGTGCACAGGACAAGAACAGCTGGGTCTGCAGCCGAGCAAGCCTCCCCACCCACACCAGGAGCCTCGGCCCTCGGCTTGTTTGCCAGTACAGTGGCCTGGCTGTTAAGCAGCTTCGCTTGGTCCACGGCAGCCAGGATCGGGCAAACGGCCTGCACTAGCTTTGTGGCACCTTGCCCTAGAAGGGAAGGTCCCATTGCAAAGGGAAGGACGAAGTGCGAAAAGAGGCAGATGGGGTGAAACTGGCTAGTGACGTGAAACAAGCGGCTTGAGGCTGAGCGGTTTCAGGGCAAGAGGATGTTTGTTATCGGACAGACAGGGTGGCCGAAGGGCTCACTGCACACGCACTCCAGCTCACATTGGCAGTGTAAACGCATGAGGTGCTGCTCCCTGATGGCACACGGCAAGAGTTTGCACGACAGGGTCATGTCCAGTAACATAGCCGGCACACACCGTGGATGCAGGCGTCACTGGCTGTCAAAGGGTCTGACCGTGCAGATATTGGTGACCAATTCCTGGCTCCGCAGGACCAAGGAGCTGGGCGGATCAGTGCCTGGCACAGCCAGGGGCAGTGCCCAGTGCAGAGAGGGAGAGAACGTCTAGCTTTGATCTGAGCAAGACAGGAGTTTCCTGGGGTCCTCTGCCCGCTCTCTGATCCCTCCATTGCAGCCTGGAGGATAACGGGGGGAGTTTGCCCAATCCTGTCTTGCCCAATCCTGTCTCAGTGGGAGAGTTGTGGGAGCTGGTGGCAGGCAGCCTGCACAGAGGGGAGCATGCAGATCACCTGCTCCTTGGGGCCCCATGAAGAGGCAGCAGAACAGACTGTCTCATCATGCAAATGTACTGAGGTCCCCCTGCCTGGCTGAGCAATGGCTCTAGGTGCTCCGGGGGATGCCTGCGCGCTCCTGCAGTGGGTTCTTTTCTCGAAGGGGTGTCCTGACGGGGCAGAACTGAGTGCTGAGCGGGGGTGAAGTGGCTGGGGAAAGGCCCTTGCAGCAAAGAGACAGAGGAAGGGAGAGAGTGGGGCTGTTGGTGGATGTGGGGGGAGGATAAACACCAGCTCAGCTGCGTAAGAGCCTCCCCAGGCTGTTGGGAGCTGCTTCCTGGCACACAATGCCCAGGCACGGTGGGAGGCTCCTCGCAGGGCAGCTCCAGGTCCAGCTGCTCCCCTGGTTCTTGCTGCCCTGGGCTCCAAACCCTAATGGCACAGAGCAGCACTGACCTCCCTTCCTTTGGGGTGGTGCGTCGGACTCCTGCGGTCGCTTCCGGCTGAGGCTGAATATATGGGGAGGGACGACTGGAGAGAGGAGGCCAAGGAAGTTCTGCCGCTGAGTGCGGTCTAGGGGACGGGGGCTCTCGGCCCCCCCAGGCGAGGTCTCCGCTCCCCAGGCAAGGTCTCCGCTCCCCAGGCCCAGCCAGCGTGCACACCGGGCAGCTCTCCCCCAGCGGCTGAGGAAGTGAGAATTTCCTTTTCCTCACCCCAGCCACAGGAGGAGATGGGCTGTAGCACATCACCCCCTCGCAGAGCTACCAGCTGGCTTGTGCTTCCAGCGGGACAGGTGACCTGACTTGTTCGGGGCCGGACTGGCATTTCTCCAATGCTGTGTTGAGACAGGGACCGGCACAGCTGGGAGCTCCCCCACAGCCAGCCCCCCTCACCGTTCCCTGCAGCTCCTCCTGGGCACCCCCTCCACGACCGCTCTGACAGCGTTGCCTGAGGTGCAGCACCCGTCCAGCCATTGATTGCTTTGCTCGCCGTGACGGAGTGGCCTGTAACAGTGGGTCAGTGTCTCTCCAGCTGCACGGAAGAGGGGGTGGGGTGGAGCCGGTCCTTGCCCTGAATAGCCTCCCCTGTAGGAGAATTGCAGCCTCGCCAGCTGCTGCTGCTGGAAAGCCGCCCTGGCGCTCTGAGCAATGCCATGTTTGTGTGTGACCTCCCTGGCAGACCCGAAGCTGCCTCATCTGCTCCAGGATGGAGGAGGACTGGTCCTAATGCCCACTTTGAGTGTGGCTGGCATTGACGCCTGGCCCAGACCGCAGATGGGCCTGCCGGGTTTCATGGCAGGTCTTCTCTGCATGCCCAGGTGAAGGGGCGCGGCGTTCGCTGAAGGGCTGGCAGGACGGTATGGCCAGCCTGCTCACAAGTTAGACTTACGATTGAGGCCCGGCAGCTCTTGAATGCGCTGCCCACGCCGGCCGACATCACGACGAGCGAGGCTTTGGGAGTGGGGAGGTGCGTGCGCATTACAGCACAGCACTCCCTTCTGCCCGCTCTTGTGCGGCGGCTGTGATCCTGGGACCGGGCTGGCAAGAGGCAGGGAGGGATTGTGTTTCGGGCTATGTGTCCTGGAAGGAAGGGCAGGGAGACAGCTGTGTGGGAAGGTGAAGGCCACTGTCCCGCCCTGCTGATGTTGAGTTGCTGCGTGTGTAATGCCAACAGACCCCGGTTGTCGGTGGGCAGCATCAAACCCAGGACCTCTGGAGCTTAGTGCATGAGGCTCCACTGCACGAGCTAAAAGCCAACTGGTTGTTAGCTAAGGCTGGAGAACAGACTCGTTTAAGGCTCTCTCTCTAAGTGGTTTCGGTGCCACGAGCTGGGAGGTGTGGGGGTTACGCGTGCAGGGCCGCGGGACGTGGTGCTGGGTTCAGGCTGTGGCCCAGCACACCGTACCAATAAGCAGTTCTTTGCCACTCCCCGGGAGCACGTCTGAGTGGGCCGGGGCTCCCAGCAGCATGCCCAGTGTCGAGAGGGGAGCGCCGCGTGGGGCCGGTGGGCTCAGCAGCCCAGGGAGCGGGCAGGGTGCCACCTTTCCAGCTTCCACGTGGGATGTTGCCTTGGACAGAGACCCAGGACGTCGCTGTGTGGAGACGTGACCGCGCCCGTGTCACGAGGCCCCAGTACAGGCAGCACGACGGCATCTATGTGGCGCCTAGCCTGAATGTTGGGCCCCTTTGGGGGGCGGGGGGGTTCCTGCCCCCTCCCTTATTTGGGGAGGGAAGGGTACAATCCCTGAGGTGACTTGGCTCCCCTTGGAGCTGGGGATGGGGAGAGCTGGTGGGGGAAGCTTCAGGCAGCAGCTGACATCTCTGTGCTGGTGGGGGGGCACACACAGGGAGAGGTACTGTCTGAATAGAGCCCACTGTGTCCCTCCTGGCTGCCATGACGCGTCTCTCTCCCTCTCTCTGCCTGTCTCCTCTTAGCTGCAGGCAGGATACTGAAGCGCTGAATGGAGCCGCGATGTGACCTACATTTCCCAAGGAAGCAAGGCGCCCCCAGCCCCCGGAGCTTTCTCGGCGCCTGCCCCATGAAATGATGCAAGTGAAGCCTCTTCTGCCCCGGCAGGTGCCTCCTTAGCCAGGCTTCTCGCCCTGCCGCATCACCTCACGCCATTCGCCGGGGACGGCAGGACATGGCCGGCGCGGCACCGTGGGCCCGCTGGGGAGAGGTGGACCTTGGCCATGGCTCTGGGCAACGGCAGCGCTGGGAGGAGGAGGAGGTGGAGCAGGGGTCTGAGGGATACATGGAGGAGAAGGGAGTTGCTGGACTGGATGAGAACGGACTGGTGGGTGGCGCTGGCCAGTGGGGTGAGTCCCCGGCCCAGGAGCCCGCAGAACTGGAGTTCCTGGGAAACGTCAGGCTTCTGAAGGGGCCACCTTCCCCCGAGGGGCTCTTGGCCCAGAGTGACAGGAGCTTCGACCTTCGTGAACTGCAGGAGTTTGAGTGGAGCAGTGTCCAAGGGGACAATGCCAGGAGCCCACCCGCTGGTGAGTCAGTTCTCTCTTCTCTCCTCTTCCTCTGGTAGCCTGCATGTACTACGGAGATAGCCCAGATAGCTCAGAGCAGAGAGTAACTGCCACGGGGGGATGGGCGATGCCAGGGCATGGGGTGTTTTCTCCAGACCCCAGTAGTCTGCTGGGTCCTGGGAAATGCAGCTCACATGCCTTGAATAAGACTAATTCTAGTGAGCTTAAGTGTCTAGGTATTGCCAGTAAAATGCAGCTACCTCTGGGGTAGAACACTGAACCCATCGGATGTGTGCCTCACAACAGTTTAGTACAGGAAGGGAGGAGCTATTCTGTATCTGATTGAAACCGCAGTTGGCATGTGGCCAGCACACGCCTATTAGCAGCGTCCTTCCACCTGCAGAAAACACTGAGGGTCTTTCAGGATCCCTTTCATGCAGGGATGAGGGCCTGCAGTGAATAATCTCATTCAGCGTCACAGCACTGGGGCAAAGAGAGCGCTACCTGTGGGAATTCCAGTGCCCATCCTTGCAATGCCTTAACGTTTTCCTGGAGGTCCCTCACCCGAGCACTGACTAGGTCTGATGTCGTTCAGCTTATGAGACCTGGCAGGATCTGGGCTGAAGGTGCTATGGCTGCAGGCTAGAGAAGCCCTCCTGTTGGGAATTGCCAGTTCTCAGGAAATTCACTCAAGCAGATTTTCCCCTGACATGTCTGACACACAGGAGGGGAATGCCAGCTGCATCAGGTGTTGTGCAGGGAATATGGACCTGCGTCTACCTCATCTACCTTTGTGTGGCCACAGTTATGGGCTGCAGTCCATATGTGTTGGTAGAAATCTGCTTTCTGTGAAGGAACCTTTCGAACTGTATGGTAAGAGGCAAAGTCCCAGCATGTTGCTAGCTAGGAAGCCCAGAGTTGGAATAAATAAATGATCATTGCGCAGCATGGAAAGATGTTAACAGCTGGCATCTCCGTGGGGAGCAAACACCAGGACTAGTGCTGGTCAGGACACAGCCTAGAAGTATGAAACCCCAGCCAGGAGAATTTTGATTTCTGTTCTCAGCTTTGATACCAGATTGCGGCTGTGTCTTGGGGCAAGTCACCTGCAGTACATTTTCACAAGTGCCTAAGACTAAGTCTACACAGCAACCAGACACCCGCAGCTGGCCTGTGCCAGCCGACTCAGGCTCGTGGGGCTGAGGCTGTGGGGCTGTTTCACTGCCATGTCGACGTCTGGGCTCGGGCTGGTTCGAGGACCCTGAGAGGTGGGAGGGTCCCAGAGCTGGGGCTCCAGCCCGAACTGTGATGTCGACACAGCAACGAAATGGCTCCGCAACCTGCGCCCAAGTTGGCTGTGGTTTTTCTTCGCTGTATAGACATGGCCCTAATCACAAAGGAGCCCAGATTGCAACATCGGCACCTAAATCATTTGGGCATTTCAGAAAATATTACCCTTCCTCTCTGCACCTTGCATTCCAATGGCTGGGGATGATGATTGTTCCCGGGGATGGACTGGTCAGTGTGTACGACGGTTAAAAGGGAAACCACGCTAATGCCGAGGAGTTTAAGACCTTGGACTAGGAAGGGAACAGTGGAAGCAGTAACATTTCCTGATGGTACCAACATTTCAGTGAATTGGGACGAAGGAAGATTTTGTGAGAAACTCTGGAAGGAGCTGAAAAAAGGAGCCACGCAAATGGGTGGGGGCGGGTGAATGTTAGGGCCATCCAGGGTAAAGTAATGCGTCGGGGAAGAAATCCTTAAGGGCCGGTCAGATGCAGTGGTGGGTTTGGATTTCGTTGTAAAAGACCGAGCTGTCCTTGCCGGCATCTGCTCAGTGGTGGCCGGAAGAGTCGAGAAGATATCCAGGGTTTGCCTGCACTGCCGTTGGGAAGGGTGATTGCAGGTCGTATGGTGACCTGTGATCCAGCTGCATGGGCGGAGGGCCAGACTGGCCACCTGACTACGCACCTAGAGTACCAGGTGGGGACTGTACTCGGGTGACTAGCCCATCCCGCTGCCCTTGTGGCTACCTCTCTGTTTAGTACACTAGCTCCATCTCCTCTAGCTCAGCCATGCCTCCCAACTGCCGGGTAGATGTAGCCTTAGCCTGTATTGAGGGCAAAGGAATAATATGCAAATATCTTCATGTGGTTAATGAGATGATGACCCCCTAAATATATTCTCAGTGTTGCATATATACTGAAGTCCTACTCTGGAAGATAGCATTCAAGGGTTGGCCATCTCCCCGTAAAGCCGTAACAGAAATAGAAACATCCCAAAGCAGGGACAATAAAAATGATTGGGGACGTTTGTCCTGATACTCTTGATGTACCCCAGCAGGACAGGAGAAACTCCACTGAAGTTGATGGAGTTCCACCAGCGTTAAAATGGTGTGAGAGGAGAATTGGACCCGCTGGGCAAGGGAAGCTTCCATATGACTTTCCAGGTTGACAAAATTAAGGGTAAAATATTCAAAAGCGCCTGAGTCTTATCTTCAAAAGTGACTTGGACACTTGGGAGCCTCACTGGAAGTCAATGGAACCTAGCTTGCTAAGGCACTTTTAAATATTTTACCCAAGGACTAGTTGGCTTGGCTTGGAGAATAGAAAAGAGAGATGCTGGAGGTCTAGAAATGTATGCATGGTGCGGAGAAAGCCACTCAGATCTTGTAACGGAACAAGAGGGCACTTGGAAAGGATTAAAAGGCAGTATATTTTAAAATGGCAGAACTGGAAAGAATTACAGTTACGTATGTGTGATCTCTATTTCTCTAAGTAACATGACCTGTGGGACTCTCTGCAGCAGGAAAATATAGGGGCAAAAAGCATGGATTATTATTAAAAAACAAAACAAAAACCATGTTTGTAGGAATAATAATACTCCCACCTAGTTCTTACAGAGCACTTTTAACGAAGGAGGTCAGTATCATTTCCGCCATTTACACATGGGGAAACTGAGGCATGGGACAGGGAAATAACTTGCCCAACGTCCTTCAGCAAGCCAGTGGCAGGCCAGGAATAGAACCCAATTCTCCTGAGCAGTTTTGGGGTTCAGTTCATGGGGCAAAAATCAAATGAACAAAGAAACCATCGAGCACTTGGTGACGGCAGCACTGTTGTTTGTTTTCCAGATGATGGCGAGGAGCTAGAGCATGATGGGACACAGGAGGACCTAACCTCCCCAGCCCACTGGCACCCACAGAGAGACAGGCAGCTAGACATGACTGAAGAGGATGAGGACCGAGCCAGCTCAGGGGACGTGGAGAGACAGGAGGAGGACTGGGAGGCAGGGAGTGAAGGGGAGGGCTACCCGGAGCTCTCTTTCGAGGGCCAGTATGGCTCAGAGTACAGCGCTAGCCCCGATGCTCTGCGGGACGCCCAGGCTCTGTACAGGGACTATGGCAAATCCTTCAGCTTCACCACGGATGGCGGAGAGGAGCTTTCGGGACACTCAGACGTCAGCCCGCCCCCCTCCAGCACCCTGCCGGAGTGCTCCCCCAAGCCAAGCCAGAGAACCGGAGCTGATGTCTTTGAAAGCCAGAGCCGGCTCGGAGAGAGCCCGGAGTTCCCCACAGAAATGGAGTTCTCGTCGCCCTCAGGCGGGCAGCTGGACAGCCCCAATCTGAGCCCGCTGGCCGATTCCCCCCACTGGAGCCTGAGCCGGAGCCTCCTGCACCACCTGTCTGTGGAAGACCTTCAGAATGCCCCAAGCATCGACGCAGAGACCTTCCCAGACCCCTCCTATACTGAGAGCGTGGAGGACCCGCCCCGAATAGTCTCCAAGGCTACCTCTGCTGATGGAGCGAGGGCATCCCGCCACCGCCCTGTGCCTCCGTCTCAGCCTTCGGAGAGCTCAAGGCTCCAGGCAACAAAGACTCCCCCTTCCCTACGGCAGGCTGGCAGCCAGCAGCAGGACAGGGCTCGGAAGCTGAAGAAGGCCATTTCCCCAGCACTCCCTTCCAAGTTTAGCAGGCAGTCCAGGTCCCTGAGCCCCCAGGGGAACGCCGGGGAGCAGGCAGAACGGTCTGGCTCGCCCAAGTCAGGCCCCGTCAGGCCATCCCTGGCTGCAGCCGATGCCTCGCGATACGGGCGAGGCCAGCTCAACTACCCGCTGCCGGATTTGTCCAAGGTGGAGCCGCGGGTGAAGTTCCCAAAGGACGATCAGAGCTACCGCCCTCCGCGGGGCAGGACTCTGCCCATGAGGGCCAGGGGCTCAGCGAGCCCCGTGGTCTTCAAGTCTCCTGCGGAGATCGTCCGGGAGGTGTTGCTGAGCAGCACGGAGGGATCCCCGCAAAAATACCCTTCCCCTTCCACCACCATGGTGCCCGAGGAGTTCAGGTCCCCGCAGCAAGCCACTGAGCTGGTGAAGCAGCTGCAGGTAACTTCCACCTCTCACAAACCAGGGAAACCTCATTAGGAGAGAGACAAGGGATCTCTACACAGGTTTGAAATCAGAGGGGCCCCCCGCTTTTCCCTCCTGCAAGAAGCTGGGCAGAAAGGGGCCGCAGAACTTGGAGGGAATAAATGTTGGAGCCTTCACCTGTACGGTGTCGCCTCTGGACTAGGAGACCATGTTGACAGGGGATGCTCGTCCCTCTGGAATCCCGGTCAGCACTGCCATGGGGCAGATCATTGCATGGGGTGTTCGTGACAGGGCATTAGGATTAACAGCAGGGAAACCAGAGTCACTTGCTCAGGTAGAATATCATGTGCGCATGTGTTCAGAGGGGGAACTAATCTTTTGATGTATTGATTCTTGGTTTGCAGACTAAATTCTGAAGTCCCTATTACCTGAGGCATATGTTTCTGCAGTGTTTCCATGTGCAGTGTATGTGTGTCTGTGTACACATGCACCAGGCACTTTCATACCCGGTGGCTAACTGCTCCTTCAGCGTCCACCCTCCCCCAGCTGGACATTTATGTTGCTATGTAAAACTCAGTGACAGTAACACCCCTACATGACCCTGACGTGTGCTCTCCTTCCAGGAGGACTACCACAAACTGCTGACCAAGTACGCTGAGGCTGAGAACACCATTGACCGCCTACGGCTGAGAGCAAAGGTACAACGTGCAGGGAGCCTGAAACAGGCCAGATATTGGGATAAGCACCCCTCATTGCAGATGTTTCTCCCTATGTGCTTTTGGGGCTGTCACATTGGGCCGGCAGGCTCCCAAGAGCAGGCTGCATGTGAGATTTTAAAATAGTAATAATATTTAAGATGGGGAGGTATCATTCGCTCTGGTTTACAGCTAGGGAAAACCAAGCACAGGGAGGTGAAGTGACTCCCCATGGTCACACAGCAGGGAATAGAACTTCAGTGTCTTGCCTCTCTCAGTCCAGCACTCTAGCCACTGGAGCACGCTGCCTTCTGGCCAGAGATTGCTCAAGACCTGCCCTTTTTATGATATTGTGGCAGCCCTGATCCGAGCCAGAAGCAGAAAGGGCCAAGGCAGCCAGGAAATTACGGAATAAATTACCCAAGCTCTTCTGAGCTTCTGAAGAGATTCACTTGTGGTTTGAGAGCAGGGTGGATGCCGTGGTTGGTTCCCTTTTCATCCGGCCAGGTTTGCCCTTGTAGATGCTCGAGGAGCAAGCAGGGGCGCTGCATGCAGGGATCGTTAGCCTTCCCAGGCCGTACCTCCACAAACCAGAGAGGATGGCTGCGAGCTGCTCCAGTTTATGCAACTCAGGCGCAGTTTTGAGGATCGGGCTCCTGCCAAATTGCCAGCGTGGCCTGTAACGGGTTGAAGCTTGGATTTCCTCTAAGGTTCAGAATCTGTCCCCTCAGCTTGCCTGCTCATGAGGCGGTCTGTCTCCAGGGTTAATATACATCTGAGCTGAATGGATTCATACCCACACCTCAGCTAGGGCAGCAGTCTGATTTCCATCCCAATACCCCTGGGTCTGGTTAGTCTGACACCACACAAGCACATGGAGGGTTAGTTGCTCCCCCAGCAAAAGGCCCCATCTCTACTCCCCTTCTAATGGCCCAAGCTTTGAATTCGCAGCGTCCTCGCACGCTGCCTCTTGCTTCCTTCCTCTTTCTGGGGAGCCCCTGAGCTGCGGTTTAGCTAGTGCAGCACCGGGAGAAGGGAAGTTGAAATCTGGCGCAATGTCATGTTGCAAAGCTTCCCATCTCCCCTCCTCCTTCCCTTCCTGTTCAAGGCCAAGCCCCGCTGCCCTCGTCGGGCCAGAAAAGAGACGCCACTGCAGCTGGGTGCCTGTTGCAAAAACACACCCATGCCCGTTCACGTGCAGTCGGAAGCATGCCTCTGCTATGTTCACTTGCCATCGATATTCTAGCCCAGGAGTTTGCGGTCGGGAACCTTCGCAGAGACGGCAGGGCTGGTTCTCCGGTACCCTGCCCCTTGTGGTGTTGTGCCCGGGTGAGACCGCAGCTGTAAGGCGCATGCTGTGTGCAGATGCACTAAGACATGGGGGCTGCCCCCTGCAGTTGGTTCCTTGCTTCGAGTGTAGCTGGAGCCAATGAGTAATGCACGGTCTTTCCTGCCATTGATGAGGCAAATGGTCTGCTGCAGGTGCAGCCCTGCTCTTTCACTCTATCTAAAGTACTTCCCTGTCCCCCATCACCAGAGCACAGGGGTGGGCAAACTTTTTGGCCCGAGGGCCACATCGGGGTATGGAAATTGTATGGCAGGCCATGAATGCTCATGAAATGGGGGGTGGGGTGCAGGAGGGGGTAAGGGCTCCATCTGGGGGTGCAAGCTCTGGTGGGGTCCCAGAAATGAGGATTTCGGGCTGGGGCAGGGGGTTGGGATGTGTGTGTGGCGGGGGGGGGGGGGGTGTAAGAGCTCCAGCTGGGGGTGTGGGCTCTGGGGTGGGGCCAGGAATAAGGGGTTTGCGATACAAGAGGGGGCTCCAGGCTGGGATCGAGGGGTTCAGAGCATGGAAGGGGGATCAGGGCAGGGGTAGGGGATTGGGGCACGGGAGGGGCTCAGGGGCACAGGCTCTGGGCAGCGCTTACCTCAAGCAGCTCCTGGAACTATGTTCCCCCATCCGGCTCCTACGTGGAGGCGCGGCCACATGGCTCTGCATGCTGCCCCATCCGCAGGTGCCGTTCCCGGCCAATGGGAGCTGTGGGGCACCTGCAGACGGGGCAGCGTGCAGAGCTGCCTGACCATGCCTTCACCTACTACGTAGGAGCCAGAGGGGGGTCATAGCGGATGCTTCCCGGGAGCCACGTGGAGCAGGGCAAGCCTCCGACCCCACTCCCCAGCTGGAACTGAGGGCCGGATTAAAAGCTCTGATGGGCCAGATGGTGGCCTGCGGGCCATAGTTTGCCCACCCCTGCCATAGCACCTCACACTCTTCAATGTATTTGTCTTCACAACACCCATGGGTAGCAGGCCAGTGCGGTTATCCCTATTTCACATATGGGACACTGAGGAACAGAAAACCAGATCCTCAGCTGGTTACAGCTCCATTAATTTCAATAGTGACTTGCCCACTATTCCAAGACCGGAATTGTGACGGTCAAGTCTGACCTCCTGTCCACAGAACTTCCACGGCAGAAGAGCAGGGAACTGAACCTGGATCTCTCAAGTCCCAGGTGTGACTAAGTTCCTCCTCTGCCTTGGTGGGTCCCACGCTTATTGGTGGATTTGCTTGCCTCAGAGATTCACGGCAGCTCTCAGTTTGGCCACTCTTGCTAGTGGCTCAGACCTGCCCATCCACTCAGCTAACCTCATCACTGGCCAGCATGGGGGAAACAGAGAACAATCCCCACAGTCTCTGTGTCCTACCTAGTGGGTTGGGGACAGGGCAGATCCCTCTCCGATTTAGACCTTCCCTTCTGGTGTTTCTCACAGACCAGGTCAACTCCTCCTGTGTCTGATCAGGAGTTGGGGGGATGGGGGGGAACCCGGGCCCACCCTCTACACCAGGTTCCAGCCCAGGGCCCTGTGGATAGCAGCTGTCCACAATGTTCCCTCTATCAGCTGCGTGACAGCTACAGCTCCCTGGGCTACTTCCCCATGGCCTTCCCCCAGCACCTTCTTTGTCCTCACTGCAGGATCTTCCTCCTGAAGCCTGATCACGCTTGAACTCTTCACTCCTCCTGCAGCACACATTCTCACCCCCTGCTCCTGGCACACCCCCGTACTAACTGATGGGAGGTCCTTTTTAAACCAGGTGTCCTGATTAGCCTGCCTGCCATAACTGAATCTAGAAAGTTCTTAATTGGCTCCAGGTGTCTTGATTAGCTTGCCTGTCTTAATTGGTTCTGGCAGGCTCCCGATTGCTCTAGGGCAGCCCCTGCTCTGGTCACTCAGGGAACAGAAACCTGTTCGTCCAGTGGCCAATATATTTGCCTTCCACCAGACTCCTGTACCCCCCTGATCTGGGTCTGTCGCACAGGCTAGTTCCTGAACCACTGGGCAATCCTTCCTCTCGCTGCTCCCTGGCATTCTGGGGTGCAGCTATGCTCCAAGCAAAGGCTAGCTCCAAGCAACCCTGTCCTCCTAGCTTTGAGGCCACCGGTCCCCTTTTCGCCTCCCATGCAGTGCCTTACGCACATGCGCAGATACACGCCAGCGGGCCACAGTCGCTCTTTGCCGTGTGCCGCTGTAGAAGGTAGTGTGGCGGGACGCACCGCCCGGCAGGACGCGAGCAAAGCTGCGGCAGAGAGAGCTGGTAGCAATCTGCGCGCTGTGATCGTTCCAGGGGAGGGGAGAGGCTGTGCGGATGCGCTCGGAGAGGGGATGGCCTGTCTGGGATGTGGCGCGGGCTGGGTGAGGAGGGTCGGTCTGTGAGCTGGAATTTGGAGGGAGGCACAGGTGAGAGGTGTGAGTGGAGCTCAGTGTGGAGGACGCTCTGTGTGTCTGGAGGGGGCAGTCCGTCTGTGAATGCAGCTTGGAGGGGAGCCCAGCCATGACTGTGCAGGGAGGTGGTGGGTGGACAGGGCTTGTTAGAGAGGACGTTGTCCGGTAATGAGGGGGTAGAAGGGCAAGTGACGAGCTAGGCTTGGGGTGATGGGGAGACGCCCTCTGAGAGTGGGGGCCTCTGTGGGGTGAAGGGTCTATCAGTGACCACGGTTTGGAAGCGGGAGCAGGGTACCATCCCTAAGCAGAGTACATCCCTCCCTCTTCTGCTCTGTCTGCAAGGCCCCCTCAGGCCTGGTGAAGGCCCATGCTCCCCTGCAGGGCTTGGGGCTATCATCGTGGCTTGCCTGGCACACCTCCCTTTGGCACTACGGTGCGACGCAACAAGGGGTGACACCTCTCAGTGCAGCATTTCACATGCCGGGAGCTCCCTGGGCTCAGGTGGGTGCTGTCACTCTGCACTACAGCTGCGGGATCACCGTGTACCCGCTCCCAGGCCCTGGCTGGCTGGGGAAAGAGGGGGCCTCTTTCAGCACCATGGCCCTGCAGGCAGACAGGTGCGGGTGAGGGCTGATCCCCTGAAAAGCTGTTCATCTGGGGCTCCCCTGTCTGGAGCCCAGCCTGGGGCCCCCCCCAGGATAATGGGTTTGGCAGCCTGTAGATATGGGGTGGAGCCGCTTTTTCCCAAAGAATCCATCCAGCTCTTAAAGCGACAGGGCGGCACCCAGCACGAGTCTCCAGGCTTTCCGGTTGGTCAGCAATGCACTCTCTCCTCTGCATCACACGGGGAAGGCTTATTGGTGAACTCAGGGGCTGGGGGGACTGAAGTGTAGCCCCCATTGGTGCTCCAAACATGAAGGAGCAGCTCCGCTCTGCTCAAGGTGAAGTGGCCTGTGATAATGCTTTGCGCTGTTTCAGCACCCGCCCTGTGAGGATCTCAAATTAGACATTAAACCTCCGCTCTTGAGGTAGGGGTTCTCCCCACTCTACACACAGAGGAACGGAGAATGTGAAGGACCTGATTTACGGAAGAGCTGAACCCCCCACCCCTCCATCCAGTTGCTGGCGCTCAGCACTGCTGAAAATCAGGCCCCAAGTGACTTGCCCAAAGTTACACAGCTCAGTCAGAGCTGGGAAAGAACCCAGGAGTCCTGACTCCCAATTCCTTGTTCTAACCGTTCGGAAAGACTAACCCTCAATATAGGGAAAGTCGCATTAGC